TCGTGGTGGGGAAGCTGCATTTGGATACCTGCATGTCCAACACAGGTGGATTCGGGTTTATTTATACTGTCCCAGTAGGAGAGAGATAGATGAAGAGCGAGTGAGTCTCGTTTACCATCACTAAGGGGGTGAATAATCGACCAGCCCCCCGAGGCCAAGGGGGGAGAATTCCGGTCCTAGGCCCTGCCTGATTTCAAGCGTGTCTATACAGAGTACCGAGGCTCTGTGAACATGGCTCTGCTGGGGGCTCGATATGTTAGTTGGAGATGTGTATGGTACCCCTTCGGTGTCCCATCTGTGGGACCTCGGTTGACTTCTGGACACAATATATTGCTCTCTGTTTTCCCTTCTACTCCCCTCTATGGGGACTTCGGGGCCTAGACTCCTCCCTAAGGCCAGTTGTGATGGAAAATTTTCCCAGATGGGAATCCGGGGGACCGATAGATAATGCTCCCCCCCAAAAAAAGGAAGGAGGTCTGCGCACTGGATAGCATGCAGAGCGCACCAAAGCACTTTGTCAGTTCGTCCTCGCCTCACAGACCCCTGTTCGTCATCTGACCGATGAGGCTGTACACTCCACTACTGTGAGCTTCTCGGAGCCAAGTTTGGGCAGCTAGAGTGCAGTGTGCGTAGAGTATGCCTGATATGATTGCAAATTCACAGTTCCGATTTGGAATTTCAAGCAGTTCCAGCTGGGAATTCATGAGGAATTCCAACCAGGATCGTCAAGCAATTCCAAATTGGAATTTCTATTTCACACAGCATGCTGAACGCACACTGCACCCCAGCTCCCCACACTTGGCTCGAAAAGGCTCACAGCTCACAGCTATGCACTGCGAGGCCTCGAAGGTTAGGATGCCAACGAGTACTGAGTGCCAAAGCGCTTTTGTGTGATTTTCCAACCAAGTACGCAGAACCCCTGCGGCCTTATGTGGTTTGGATGTAAAAGGCATAAAATCAGGATTCCAAGTCGGAAATTTTCCATCACAATTGGCCTTACATCCATGGGAGGCTGCCCTCGGGGGTCAATGGAGGGCATATATGGCTCTCTTGTCCATACCCCGGATGGGACAAAAAGCGGTGTACATACCATAAACAATTTCAGGTGCTGCACTCAAGCCCCCAGCAGAGCCCGGTCAAAAAAACCTCTAAATAAAGTGCATCGCTCATTCTTATTAGGATCCGATGAGCTTCAAACAAACTGGCTCTGACTATGTGTAAGTTCGGACAAAGCGCGAGCATTGAATGATAATTACTCGCCATGAACCGTCTTTCGCCTGAGCAGCAACAAGCATGACAGCATTGTAAGCAAAAGTACACGGAAATCCCACACAAAGATCAGGTCGCAAAAGCATTCTATGGAATCTTGGCCAGCAATCGTACGTGCCATCAAGAATGATCACATTATTGATGAAAAAGCCCCTCGCTACGTAAGTACCGCCGAGACACACGAAAGCAGCTGCCAAACACCAAAAACGGTAAAGCAAAGCTAAATAGAGATATTTGAAGAATCAACACTTCCCCTCAGGTATGGTTGGTGTTGTTGATCTTGGCATTGCCTGCTGTGCCCAGTTGTTGGGTCACGGAAATCCTCTCTTATCAATGCTGCTTGGTTTTATATAGATCGTGCTTGATGTCATGTCGAGTATTCTATCTTGCCGGTTCGCGCGCGCTCGTCTGTGATGCTTTTCATTTTTGTGGAGGTTCGCCGTTTATTACCAGTTTCTTTCGTTCCTTCGGCTCTCGAACGGGAAGCATGTACGCAGCGCGCTCCAGGCACACCGAGCCCTGTGGCGTACTGCCAAGAGCTACCCGCGCTGGATCACCCGGCGCGGAGTGGTTCCGTTTTTCCTAGATTCGAAGGTTTGGGTTACACGGAAAGGCACGGTGATGTGTGAGCCGCTAGTGCAGGTCTTTTTTTGGGTGCTCAACAATGTTACGAACTCAAACTTTGAGCCTCCGACCACCTTGCTTCATTTAAAGTAAGAAGCACCACACGAGAAGCATATAGAAGTATACAGCTACGGGGGATGGCTTTGTTGTTGGAACAGCTTTCTTCTCTGGAGCGGTATTATCGAGAGACCTCAGCTGTGGATGACAAAATGCTGATTTCGGCGGTGGAGCGTCTCTTCGAGATGATATCCACCCATCCTTTTCAACGCTTTTTCCAAAACTCGTTGTGCCTCGCTACGGTAGCATTGGTTATGGGTCACTCCCTGTGCACAATAATTGATCAACATCTCTACTACACCGTCGATTCACAGAACGTGCTGTATATCGAACGAGAGCTTTTGACTTGGTAGGCTCAGTGAAAAGGCTGTAGAATACTTGCGTTTGACCATCACAAAAATAGTTCGCTCTAGCATTTTTCCTGCGTTTCGGGATCCTCATTACAAGCGGTTTCCAATAATTGGCCCTGAAAATTGATTCGACCATGTTGTGGAGATATCGTTCACGTTTCACGACGCATCCATTACATCACGGAGTCCCATTTCACATCTGAGGGACAAAGTGCGCCGAACTCGGGGTACATTGGTTCAATCCCAGAAAGAATGTAACTACCGTAGGTTGCATAAGATACCATACCCGTGTATTCTGTAGGGGGTGTGATGTCTAATGTCACCCGTGTGTGATAAAATGCACTCACAGAGCCCCACAAACAGGGGGTGTGATAACAATGGGGTGTGAGACCGTCGCCCGTGTGAAGCGCGCTTACAGGACCCGGCTTACGGGGTGTGTGATCACAAGGGCTTGGTGGTGCACGATGGTTCTCCACGGCGCGGTGTCGCTGCAGGGTTCCCAGCAGTAGCCGCGCTCAGGGTGTTGGTTGGCGGGAGAGCTGCCTTTTCGGGTGCGGGTGTGGGTGCTGAGGGAATCCCTGCAGTAGTTTCTGCTTCGCAGGTTTCAGCGGCACCTGCGGTGGCAGGAGCAGCCGGTGCTGTGGGAGTCTTAGCAGCGGTAGATTCTGTTGGGCGGGCCTCAGCAAAACGTGCGGTGTCATGCGCGACTGCTGAGGGCGTCGTCCCAGCAGCCACACGTTCCCCCGGGGCGGGTTGAAAGAACAGCGCTATGGAGCGTGGGGCCGCCACTGGAGTGGCCTTCGCGAGTAGGTTGTTGCTTGTGATCTCATGCCCTAACGTTGTCACACCGTGTGATAAGCGGGGGCTCCGTCGATAATATGCGGCCCAACTTGAGGGGTGTGGTATATTCTGTCACCGTGTGATGAAATGACACTTTGTTCGGGATCGAAAAAAAAAGCACACCCATGTAGTATTGTGTACATTTTCTGAGAGCGTGTGGCATCTAATAAATATGATATCATGTGCAACCTACGGTAGTGTCCTAGGCATTTGTTGGCGAATCCATGCCACTATAATACCTCATGAGAATCGGATTTTCGAAGGGAACGCGAACGAAAACCCTCTGCTTTTAGCTCATGGGTCTCTATGTTGTCCGGTGACTCCTCAAAGACCCGAGAAGTATGCTCAGTATTTCTTTTTACCTATATTTTTTGGCTATGGTGTGTGGGGATCACGGTTGTAGACACGCCTGAAGTCAGGCAGGGCCCAGGACCAGTGCCTTTTCTCCGTGGCCTCGGGGGGGGGCGTACTCTTATGTTTTGCATGTCTTAGCGGTTAGACTATTGACCACGCGTCCTCGAGAGGACGGAGCATTGTTCCCACAGGATCGATCACCGATGGCCAATCGTTCCTTCCTACTTTGCCAAAGGTGGCTCAAAAATGTCTTCCCTAGTCTGTCTATCCTAACGATATCCCTTCCCGCCTTTTCAACCCACCTCCTATGCCCCAGTACAGCTACCGTCCTTTCCTCTCTATTCCATGCCTCAAACATCTCCCTGTACGTTCCATCTATTTTTCCCAGCTCAGTCACGTACACTTCCCTCTCCTTCTTGTACAACGGACATTCCGCGACTACATGAACACGGTCTTCGCATTCGAAGCCGCAATCACATTTGAACTCGTCGTCTTCCTCGTCTACCGTCCTATGTCGTGGCCTCGGGGGGGCGGTTGATTCACCTCCTTGGTGTGGTAAAGCAGATTGTATGATTGCACACGAGTCTCTGTCTCTCCATCTCTCTCTCTTGCCAACATCCCAGCCAGGCTGATAGAAACCCCAATCTACCAAACCCTAGATATTCAGATATCCAAAGGCATCCTCCCACCATGAACCACTCCTAGCCAGGTGCGCGGCGTCCACACGGGCGTATATTCGTTGTGCAAAACCGTAAACCGAGAAGTATCGCGGGCCAAAATGGGTACTTGACCAAAAAATACCACTGCTGTGTTTCCTACAACGGTCACACAATAGGCAACATACACAAGAGGCTAGCTTTTTATCTTGGCTGTTGCTTCAGTCAGTGGAGAAGGATATCGCCTAAAAACCAAAGATTTGGGGCAACGCGTTGCTCAAACAGATGTCTATTGCTCTAAGAAGTATCCCATCTTTTTTTTCTGTGTCTCCTAGCGCCTCGCCTTCTCTAATAAATGGTAACAAGGGGCGACACGATATACACAGCTATGGGGAGATGGCTTTACTCTTGCTGTTGCTTCGGTTTGTGGAAATAAATCACCAGAAAACCAAACGGCGGCAGGTACGTGGCGCCTCGTTGATGTCGAAACACTCTAGATAGGACATCGCTTTGGGGGCGAAACTGAGCTAACCTGTTCAGACCAACACCCACTCTTCCATCGAGAGACATGCATGGATCTAGCTGACACTGGCAGATACCACACGCTAACACCAGGATAGAACCAGCAAGCAGTCTGGTCTGCTGTGTGTTTGAAGTTTCGCAACATCAAATTCACACTGTGAGTGTCGATAACGAGCCTATAGCAGCATTTACAACCCGTACAACCGCATTTCGAACGAGTACCTACACCCAAGGGTCGTTGCATGCTTCTTTATCGTCTGCTCGCCCATTCTCTCACCAGACCTCTTCATGCAACGTGATGATAGTGCTCTGGGTCTCTGCATCTGGGATGAAGAAGCCGGGAGGATGGAAGCAGAAATTGTGGAAGGGAGACAAGTTGGAGCTGCTGCTGTTTGGGATTCCAAGGGACGTGACGAGGATAGAGTTCAAGAACTGTTGTGATAGGGAGGGACTGCACTGCCTAGGAAGGGGACAAGTAGGCAGAGAACATGAACACTTCCGGGTGAAATTGACCAAGGGAGACAGCCAAGAGTGCTTGGGGGTTGACATCGAGAAGCTGTCGAACTACGTGAGGAAGTTTGGATGGAGGGTTAGCATCGCGAACATGATAGAAACAGAGAAGGTAAGGAGACAAGAGGCGAGGGCGACGGAGGCGAAAAAAAGGACCGAGCGGGGAAGGTGAGCAGGCAAGTCAAAACAAGTCCGAGAAGAAGCGGAAGGCGAGCGATAGAGTGCGCAAAATCTCCAATAGGGAAAAGCACAAGCTGAGAGTCGGGTCGTGGAACGTGTGTGGGTTCGCAAGGAGTGAGCGCAAGCGGTTGGAAATATTGGACCAAGTAGAACAAGGCGATCTAGATGAAGTGGGGATCCAAGAGACGTGGGAATTGAAGGATTGGAACGTGGTAAGCAAACTAGGGAACTACCGGTGGGTAGGGAAGGCAAGAAAAGGCTTAGACCCGAAGAAAAAGGGGTAGGGGGGAGTCGGATTCCTGGTCAAGGAACACTTGTTTGACGTGGTGGAAGTAGTGGTGAAAACGGAGTTCGAGGAAAGCCTATGGAGTAAGATGCCTGGGGAGCGGGGTGAGACAGATTTGTTTCTAGGGAATGTGTACGTCCCACCGTCGTCGAAGAAAGTCGCAAGCAAGGCGCAGGAGAACTTTGGACAAATTGGGGAAGATGTCCAGAGCTTCAGTAGGAGGGAGAAGTTGTCATGGTGGGCGATTTGAACTCCAGAGTAAGGAAAGCTTCAAATAGAGGACAGACGATATATATAGGTTCGACTGACCACTTCCTCATATGGGTAAACATCGATCGATCCAGAAAGATGGAAAGTAAGAGACAGAGGAAAGTGTTCCGGTGGAAAGCAGAGCGTTTGGGAGACGAGGGGACATGGGATGAATTCCAGAAGGGACTGGCTGGTAGTTTAGAATCCTTCGGGAAACTGCTGAGAAGCGTCGAAGACGAACAGGTAGACGTACAAGCAGCACGGGACAGGGTGATTGATGGGTGCGAGTCCATCGTGAACGCAACGGCAGAAAAGGAGTGGGAAGGAAGGTGGTACGATATGGGGTATCGGTTAAGTGGTGGGATGACGAGCTGAAAGAAGAAATGGGGGAACGTAAAGAAGTCTAAGCAGTGCGTGAGTGATGCGTCTGAGGAGAGTTGGGAAAAGTACAGGGCCAAGGAAAAACAGTCAACCTGAATCCTTGAGAATTATTCACAAGAGAGCCATATCCTTTGCGTTCACCCCCTAGAGTAGCCTCTCAAGGGTGTGAGGGCAAAGCTAGGTCCCTTAGCCCCTATAGAACGGGGTAGAATGAAAGACAAGAGAAGAGAGCATATCATGTTCAGCCGTCATCAGAGGCCTACGGGATGGGACAAGAAGGGGGTAACATTAACATCTCCACCAACCATGTTTAGGCTCCCAGCAGAGCCCCGTCCATTCTTACAAGTTCGATCCGGACGCTTGCGTGTATTCCGTAGTTGGAAGTAATAAACAACGGCCCAGCGCCTTGACCAGCCGGAAGCTGTGTTGGGCCAGTTCGATTACACCACTAGGCAGTTTCGGGTGAGGGAAAATGCTGGGGACACATTCTTTCAAGGTCGTTTTCTGTGCCGTCGGTAAGTATTCATGCTGCCGCGGTTTACGCCCCCAGCGAATCTGATTCCGCTATGGGGTCGAAGCGAGTCGTACGTGATACACAACAAGCATCGCAGCGTTAACCTCGATGGAGTTAGGGACAGGCACTGTGGATGAGTTGTTGTTGTTCCGCGTGGGAATTAACCAACGTGACAAACTTTGAATTCCAGATCAAGCGGGTGCTGTGAAGGTGCGACGTATTTTTCTGTGCACGCATGAATGAAGCTGGCCATCGTGGCTCCATCGCTACCTTGCAGCGGTTGTCCGTGTGTTGTTGTTGATTTCGGACGCAAGGGAGTGCGTTACCGGTTTCGTCAAGCAGTGCCTGCATTATGTGGATTCCACTGCGGGGGAAAAGGTGCCGTAACCGCTCGGAGAGACCGTCCACGGCACACGCCCTGGAGAAGTTGTTCATTTCGACTATCTCTAGTTGGGAGCGAGTGCCCCGGTGGAAGAAGATGGCTTGGACGAGGAGGACGGGTTCAATCGTACCTTTTGGTCATCGTGGACGACGTGTCAAACTGGGTTTGGCTGGAGCCCACAGCGGCATGCACAGCGCGGCCTGACTGCGCAGCATATCCTGACGAGGTGCAAAATCTTGGGTGTGCCGGAGGTTTTGGTGAGTGATACCGCGTCCGATTTCAATAAGTACATGATGGCTGCCCTTGATTGCGACTGCACTCGGTGTTGAGCGGAATTTTCAATCGCCAACTCTCCCTGATCTCTCGGTACGTGCGAGCGCATGGTGCGTGAGTTGGTTCGTACGGTCAAGGTCATGATTCAGGAAGAGGGGGGTGGTACTCGTGACTGGATCGATCTGGTTCCAGCTGTGCAATGTACCTTGAAAACCCCTTTTTGCGAACGATACGGTTCGACCTCGCGCCACGTCATGCTTGGTAGAGCGGCGCGCACCGCATTTTCAACTTTGGCGTCGTCCACAGGCGTCGAATGGAAGGTGAAGTCACGGGAAGGCTCTGCGGGTAAAGGTGCAGCGTGTCGTCGAGGTCAAACGTCAACTGCACAAGGAAGTTCTGGACAAGGTGTAGGCGAGTCGGAGTAAGCACCAAGCATCTTGCGCGTTTCGGGAATCGCCCTGACTTCACGGTGGGGGGCTACGAGTTGGGAAAGCGCGGTCGCCGGCGTGAACTGGACGGAGCCGTGGAGGATTGTCGCCACCGAAAGACCGCATGTGTACGGAGTTCAGAAAATCGTGTCGGATGACGTTCGGGATGTTCATATCGCGCGCTTGCGGTTCTACGCCGATACCGCTCTCGAAATCACGGCCGAGTTAAAGGAGGTTTTTCAGCATGCTTTCACGCAGGGGGAGTTGAAAATCGAGGTGATCGTGGACATTTCAGTAACGGAAGATGGGCTTGGCTTTGATGCGGAGGTGATATGGGTTGCTCTCGACAAGGAAAAGAACGCCTGGGAAGAGCTCTCAAAGATCTGGGATGCCGCGCCGCAGTTTAGGGAATCCAAGCTGCGGCGGCTGGGTCTGCCGAAAGAGGTTCGGGCTCGATGAAAGCAGCAATACGGCATGGCCTTGTGATTTATCCGTCTACGTTGAACGAGGGCCGTCTTGTTTGCGTATTGATGGCACTTCGTCGCTGACATCCTTCGCAACTGTGCTTGATTTGTTTGGGTCGAATAGAAATTTGGCAGTGGTTATGGCATGCCTGACTCTTGTATGGGTTTGCAGGTCACCGTCGGCCGCATTGCCTAGTGTTGGGGGGTGCCTCGGCTGGTCCGGTGGTTGCATGTAGTTGATTGAGTCGACCTACATGACGGCCGCCTTCTGAATTGTGGTGGTGGTATTCCTTCTCGGACTACGTACGTTTTGAGTTTCTCGACAATTGCCTATTCGACGATTCTGCGGATCGAGGCAACATGTAAGTTTCCTTAGATATTTTAACTCCACCCCGGAACTGCCTTCTAACCGCTTTCAGCGTTGCTTCGTGGTTTGTTGTTCCTCTCATAGTTTTCCCCGCTTGTAGCAAACCTGGGTTCTTCCTACCTATCGTGACTCCCAGCATCCCAGCAGGCCCCGGTCTACAGGGAGGGCGCGCCTGAGGTATCAGCCGAGGGCATGTGGCTCTTCGGTCGATCTTCCGGACAACAAACGCCGAAAACTGTTTCTCCCTCGACACGCTGAGCATGAGATTTTGCATGGAGTCGTAACAGGTCGATCCCTTTTAAACAAATATTCAATGCACAGCAATCGCTTGTAGTAGTTTGCTGCCGTCTGATATGGGCTTTCGTAGATTTTGTCCTGAGGCCATGCTTGATTTCAGTCGTGTCTGTAGTCATTGATCACTCAGGCTGACCGACCAGGGTCAGTCAGGGTCGAAAACATTTTTTCGGGATGGCAGCAGTGTAAGCTACTCCTCCGCGTTTTTCCCGCTTCGCTCAGTGCGAGGCCAGGCAAAGGGAGCTGGTGTCCTGATCTCCCTCAAAGGTGCTATCATGACCACCTTCCCGGGCATCGTGCAGCCTAATGGCCCAGAAACGCTCCACTGGTGGCAAAGGGGGCGGATGGGGAAGAGAAAGGTTCTGCTGGAGGGACTGCTGACATCCAGAGTGGGCTTACTTACCCAGTGGGTGTTGGGGTATGGGCCCAAACTTCCCGAGTGTGGACGTAATTTTTCGAGAGCTTTGTTCTTCTGATCCTTTGCGCAATACTGCGAGTACGAGCGGAGCATGGGTCTCTGCAACAATGGGTACTCCATAAAACGCCTTCTGAAACTGTCTCTCAACTGCGGCGCCACTCTACCGGAAATGTTTGTCGCGCACCTACTTCGATGGCGCACCAAACTTGATGAAGATGACCTATACACGCGAGGCCCTCCCTGGCTATGGACGGACGATACAATTGAGTCCTCGATTGCGTCCGCCGCGGTGTGTCGTATGGTAGCCATGGAGAGTGAGACGACTGCTGTACATTGGACCGACGCTGTCCAAAGCCGACTCGGCAGTACTTTGAAAACCGGAGTGCCTAACGTATTTTCGTGACTCTACTAACAGTGCGTTCAAGAAGGGCCCGGCCGCTGTCCCCACCAAAGCAAATGTGGCAGGTCTCCCTGCGCCCCAGTTTTAGTTCAAGGTGGAAAGCAACTTCGACATGCAAGGTAGCTGGAAGGATCACCTTGAGCTAATCTTTGAGATCGTTTGTGATTTTGCGGTAGAGCGGCAAACGGTTAAGTTGGCAGATAGGCAGCATAGGCAATCGCGTTGCGACGTTCAGGCTCGTACAAAAACGTCTCAGCAACAGACATGGGCGAAAGCAAAAGCGCCTGATGGAGCTGGCGGTGCAGGTGCGTCTTCGTCTTTCGAGCTTGTCACGTGTTTCAGGTGCACAAAGCCAGGCCACGGCCCGCAGAACTATCCGTTGCAGTGGTTCCTCGCCAAAGTCTCCACTCAGCACGCTGAGCAGGGTGGGGAATTTCGCGTCGTCGGCGCGCCCGTGGACACCACCCGCGGCAGCAGCAGCAACAGCAGGAACAGCAACAGCAGCAGCAGCAACCTCAGCAGCAGCAACAGCACCGTACGCAGGGGCACGCGCACCAGCATCAGTGCCCATATAGTCAACAAGCAGCCTTCGTGAGATGGGGGACGTGGCTCCCAGGGGGCATCGCCTACCAAATTCCACCAACGCCATATCAGTTGTTGGGCTGTTTTTGCCGGAGAATCCCTGAGCGAGGCAGCGACGCCGTCTTTTTTACCGCCGGACGCTTCTCCGTCAGCTGTCACTGCCCCCGCATCCTTTCCAGCACCAACTAAGCATATGGGGGTGCAACCCGCCCCTGAGGGCCCATTCGTGACGGCTTTGAGTGGAGTTCAATCCGGACGTACGTATGGTTTAATTCTGAAGCTATCGCGTAGATTTGCAGGACAAATGGTGCCGAGTGAGCTTGTCGGTGCTTGGTGCTGCGGATATGACTGCCATAGTTTAGATGCTGGATTTTGGCTCGAGTCTCACCATATCAGCAGTCATCGCGAGTACGCTGAAAGCTGCTTTTCCTGATGCACAGGTCGGCAGGTGTGGAACCCTCGTCCAATGGAGGGGGTTTTTTGTGCTGTGAGAAGACCTCGTGTTAGTTGGCTGATATACCGCACGGCTCTTCATCTTGCAGGACTGACCTCGACGAGGCAGCCACATGTTCATTGTTGAAGTCACGCCGCATTCCTTTTCATATTCGTCAAACATGAAGTGACACTTATCCCTCACAGAATCAATCATATTCGACTTGTAAACTGCCGCGTAGTTCTCTTGTTGACTTAATTCCTGCTATCCCTTCTTCCCCTCGCTGACTCGGCAAGGTTTTGTTTAGGCATGGCCCACAGCGAGCAGGGCTAGACTCACCCTTAAGGGACCAGCACCTTCTTGCTGCGGCGCACCCGCCGCGAGGCGTGCGTAGTGGTGGAGTTGGGTCGGCACTGGTGCGCCGGATACAATGGTGCACATGCGCGGACCTCCACGACCGTCGATGTAGGCAGCAATGCCTACCTCATCTTTGTGCGAGGAGGCAGACGTCATCAGAAAGGTGGACGGGCACTATGTACACGACCCTAGGTTTGCTAGAGGGAGCTGTACCGTCTCAGTTGCCTGGTTTTGCCATCAAAGGAGGAGGGGACAGGTGGTCACGAGCTGATTGGGCTGGTTTACCCTCCGGCGCGAGAATATTCAGACCAAGAACCCTAAGTGCAACGAGGGAGAAAGCGAGGAACCGACTGGGATGGACAGCAACGAGAGCGTGCACGGACGGAGCGGGTCGAGTTTGGTCTTGCTAGGACTGGCCACAGCGGCACCGGAGAAGCGGCACCGGAGCATGCGGACGGCATCGAAACGTGGCGCACGGACTTAAATTGTGTGAATCATTTTCCGTTTTTTTCCTGAATATATGTGGTGGATGTTGGGTGTGTGTGATGACGTCACTGATTTTGTAGAGACGCGGCAGAGATGGCGCGGATGACCCGGGTGCCTTGATTGTGTATCTGCATCGTGGAAGACCCCTTCAATGTGGAACGATTCCTAGTCAGTGTCGATGTTTACACTGCTGTGCCTAACACAGATGATCTGGATAGGTTCGGGTGATTGTCAATTGCAATGATGGCTTTGGTTGGGTGTTCTTCATTGTATGTCCATGGACTCGTTCTGACAGCACTTCAGACAGCAGCTGCATGCCCCGAGGTTGTACCTTGCCTACCATGGTGTTATTATACAGGCAGCACTCCAGACAGCAGTACACTGTAGTCGACAAACATTCACCTGGTAACGTGTGGGACACGGCGAGGTGATGCTGCTGCTTTAGTCGAATTGTAGTGTGTGGTCGTGTAGTTCAGTTGTGGGCACGCAAACGTGCTAGAGGTATGGCAGGTGTATACCTCCTCGGGCTTGCTGTGGACCCTTTCCTTGCTGATGTAACTGTGCGCGTGTTCTTTTGATCTTCTGATGGCTCTAGCATTTTTGTGACCATGGACCGAGTCTTTACACTAGATGTTGGGATTAGAAACTGACACGAGTTTCATGTCAAGACCCCAAACAACAACAACGTATTCCACAGCACCCTCGAAGACAACGTAGTACTTCAAAGTAGATCCCTATCGTAGATTGAAAACAACTCAATCGACGCTGACATTGCGTCATGCCATTGTTCTCTCTTTCGCTGTGAATGATAGCGGCCTCAGTCTCCGAAAATGATAAGACCATGATAACATTCTCGTTCTTAAAATTATGATGTATACTCACTAACGAACCAGACTCTAAGCCGATGCCACATTCCGACTGCAACTTAGCACGCACGCCTTGGTCCAGACCCATCTTACGCAACTTCAACCTTACGGATTGCGAAGCATCTTCCCATATCTTTTTTCACGGATCCCATGTACTTTTATCGCGCTCGAATATGACCCATTCTATCTTGCTTGCATTTCACCGTCCTGATTTGGATTTTCACCAATGCCTACAAAAGCAGACACCGCGAACCCGCCCTGTGTTCGCATGTTTAAAAAGCATGCTTCAACCTGCAAGTGACTTGAAACTCGCTATCCAAATAATACCTTAGTTGAGCTACATGCACGTCGAGTACGTTTCCTGAAACGATATTTTGCACTCGGTATACATGCAAACTCTTCGCCTCAACCACTTTCCATGGACCGGTCCACGTCATCATGAGGTTCGACGTCGAACCCGGTCTTCGCACCCGCGCGCTGAGTACGAAATCACCAATCGCAACATTAGGTAGCTCGCGTCGACTAGCATGCCCCCGTTGTTTTTCACGATTCTGTTTTGACCATTTCCTGCACCTGTTTATGCATTTCCTATTGAATAGCTACTACGTCAATCGCCTATTGTTTAAGTCTTCAATCATCTAGCACGTCAATTTTCCAGTCTTTTTCAGTCGCAGACGCCAGCGGAGAAAAAATAGTTCGCGGTTCGTTGCCAAGAATGACATGATACGTTGTGCTCGCGTAGCGTTGACGATAAGCGGTATTCAATACCCACTATACAGCCTGGACCAAATTTACCCACTGGCGCAAGTCGCGTCTTTCTCCCTGCGAAATTCTTTCATCATACGTTGTACAGTTTCGTTACTCTGTGGCACCTTCGGAGCTTGTTCGAGTTTATTCATGATTTGATTCTTAAAAGTGCGATGCGGCATCGCCGACCCACCCACATGTATGGAAGACACAAAGTCTTTTCGCAATTTAGCAAATCCTGGCTGTTGGGAAAGCCGTGCATGATGCTGTTGTTCCAACCACACGACGTTGCCAAGATGTTCCATAACCACCAACATATATTTGAATCCAACTCTTTTTTTTTATCCAAGCCTTCGATATTCAACGCCCCACTTTGGCTAACATACAGATAATCAAGTTGAATTTCTTCGCCCGACCTTGTACCATGCACTGTTTCTCCAAGCGGCCTTACAATCGTTTCACCTGCGCCTCGCATATTGCAGTTCTTCGGCATCTTCAGGGATCAACGTGACATCTCACCCCTTCACCTTGATTCGAAAAATTCCTTCACCGTCCTTCACGGCCTTTCCATGCGGCGCCATGGGAAACCTCCGCTCCATGCGCTTTAGTTTGGACTTGCTCGACAAAATAACCTCTTATGACGGCATCGTGTCGTCAGCTTCGCTGGGCGCAAACACAGCCACAGTCATAACATTCAATACGGGAACGTTGACCCACCTCAACAGAAAGGTTCGCCGGACATGAGCAAAATAGAATATTTGATTGAGCCAACACCATCTTCTACTGCTCCAGACGCTACGCAGTAGTAGTCTTAGGGGACGACGACACGCGCGCATCAGGGGAAAACATGTATGGGAGGTTGCGGTGATCTTTGATACACTAACACCGCACCATGGCAGGTAGTCCACCCGCTTGAACGTGCTGACGATGGCGTAACCTTCTTTGTCAATAGGCGCCCACCTCATCTGAAAGTCCTTGACCGTACCGCTGAGGAAGGCAAACGGCTCGTGCGTCATATGTTCCACGGAAACTCCGCGCTCCAGCTCTTCCTGCGGCACCTGCGTCGAGAAACGAACCCAATGCTCTTCAGACGCATCGGGAAACATCTCAGAACATCAAGATCATCCTTCGGATGTGACAACGCCACCGCCTGTGCAGCCACATCCTGTGACGATGTCCACCCCTCAACCATACCGGCAGTCCACGCCTCGCTTGTAATCGCACGATTCGATGCAATCCTCTCCGTCCGACGTGGTGCCGACGTCATGTACTCCTCGAGCAAGCGTCGGAGAGCTTCCACCACCTCCTCCAGCTGCGGCAACGATGTTCGCAACCAGTAAATCGCTTGCAAAAGCTGCATGTAGATAAGCCTGAAAGCACGCAGGGCTTAGGACCAGAATCCTCCCCCCGTGGCCTCGACTGGTCGATTCATCTCTTTGGTGATGGTAAACAGAGTGTACTAGATCAGGAGGTGGAATATTTTTTTGTGGTGGTTGCACAAATGTACCTGCAGTAGGCTCGTGCGTCTGCTACAGAAGAACGGGGGGCGGTCCATCATCACCAGCTAGAGAGGGGGTGGTATCCATCATCATTCGCTAGAGGGGGGGTGGTGTCCATCATCAGCTAGCGAGAGGGGTGGTATCCATCGTCAGCCGTGAGGGGGGGATGCTATCATCAGAGGGGGGAGAGTGTCATCCATCGTCATCAGCTAGAGAAAAAAAAACATACGTTGAAAAATTACCCGGCTTGTGCTGCTGCTGCTGCTGCTGATTGTTTGAACAGGACGCTTCCGCCACCGCTTTAGATAACAGCAACAGCAGCAGCAGCAGAGGCGACACACCTTCTCGCCCACAATGAGTGTAGAGAGGTGCACAGGACAGCAGTGGCACTACATCGTCTAGGAACGAGCGTGATGTTTTACTGGTCCCGTGCTGTGATGTATGTGTGCCTCTCTCCAGAGCAGAGTCAGAGGCCGCTCCCTCCCGCCGCGTCGCAACACAAAAACAACCAACCGATGGACCCACAGAGACCCAATCAATATCTCTCCTCTCGCTTCCTCCGCCGAAAGCTAGCAGCAGCAGTAGTATAGGGCACACCCTGCTCCCGTCCCGCTCTCGCTGTGTGGTGTGTGCAACACACGCTGGTTGGTGGGACTCCCTCTCTCTCCAGAGAAAAAAAGGCGACAAAAAGGCCGGCAGCGTTGAACAACAACAATAAACAACGGAGACAACAGCAACAAGATCATCAGCGATGAATGAACCCCAGACCAACCAAACGTTCCCCGCTTCCTCCGCCGTCGCCAACAGCAGTATGTGTGTGTGTCCCGCCCCCCTTGTTCATGTTCCCTGTCTCTGTGTAGTGCGTGTCTTGTCAGTTGCAGCAGCAATGTGCGCAGCACGGCAGTGCGTCGTGGTTTCTTGCGTGCGTGTAGTTTGTTGCCCAGAGAAAAACAAAAATGACGACGCCTCCCGGGGATGCGTCCATGTGACATATATGTTTGCACAAACGGTGTGCTATCTCGAGACACCGACCACGGATTGCAAAGGTAGCGGTTGGGACAGCTCGGGCAAAATATTACATGTTGTGCGCAAGTTTTAGTTTGCAATTTGGTGCCGAGATGGTGAAATGGGCTCGAGTCTGCTGGGTATTTAGGGCGCGCAGACAGACACCAGACAGCCATGGCTAAATTTTCACGCCCCTGTGCATGAAAATTATTCTTTTTCTCGTGCGCACATACTCCACCCTCGATCCCTCTAAACAGCTTTTTTTTTTGCAAAACAAAACAAAAAGCGCACCCCTAACGGGCCACACTTTAAAAAAAAAAAACTATTATCATTTGACACGAATCTCTCGCTCACTCTACCTATCCATTATTCTCTCGTTCCCACTAGCATGCCAACCAGACAGAAAGAAACCCTATCATATTTTAGACATGCAGATATTCGATTGGTGGTTTCCCACCGTGAACTACTGCTACCCAAGTCCGCTGCGTCCCCAATACTCCCAAAGCTTACGACTACCGGAGTAGACAAGAATTAGCTTAATACCAGATAGTAGGGTACCTGGCCATGCTCAACAAAAACGACAGCGGTGTTTGTGAATGATAAACACCCATACACGGCGATACCATGCCGGATCGATGCCACGAGTCAGCGCACGGATTGACCTCCCATACATAGCGTCGAATGCCCGCATACAATAGTGAAAGGCACGCGACGCTACAAATGACTACAACACGCAAATGACCATGAAACCAGTTTGGCTCAGACCGCACGCTCGTACAAGAAAAAAACATACCGAGTAGCTGGACAACCGGTATGTTACAAACAACTTGAAATGGGCATGTTTGCTACAAGCGGGGAAAACGATGAGAGAAACAACAAACCACGAAGCAACGCTGAAAGCGGTTAGAAGGCAGTTCCGGGGTGGAGTTAAAATATCTAAGGAAACTTACATGTTGCCTCGATCCGCAGAATCGTCGAATAGGCAATTGTCGAGAAACTCAAAACGTACGTAGTCCGAGAAGGAATACCACCACCACAATTCAGAAGGCGGCCGTCATGTAGGTCGACTCAATCAACTACATGCAACCACCGGACCAGCCGAGGCACCCCCCAACACTAGGCAATGCGGCCGACGGTGACCTGCAAACCCATACAAGAGTCAGGCATGCCATAACCACTGCCAAATTTCTATTCGACCCAAACAAATCAAGCACAGTTGCGAAGGATGTCAGCGACGAAGTGCCATCAATACGCAAACAAGACGGCCCTCGTTCAACGTAGACGGATAAATCACAAGGCCATGCCGTATTGCTGCTTTCATCGAGCCCGAACCTCTTTCGGCAGACCCAGCCGCCGCAGCTTGGATTCCCTAAACTGCGGCGCGGCATCCCAGATCTTTGAGAGCTCTTCCCAGGCGTTCTTTTCCTTGTCGAGAGCAACCCATATCACCTCCGCATCAAAGCCAAGCCCATCTTCCGTTACTGAAATGTCCACGATCACCTCGATTTTCAACTCCCCCTGCGTGAAAGCATGCTGAAAAACCTCCTTTAACTCGGCCGTGATTTCGAGAGCGGTATCGGCGTAGAACCGCAAGCGCGCGATATGAACATCCCGAACGTCATCCGACACGATTTTCTGAACTCCGTACACATGCGGTCTTTCGGTGGCGACAATCCTCCACGGCTCCGTCCAGTTCACGCCGGCGACCGCGCTTTCCCAACTCGTAGCCCCCCACCGTGAAGTCAGGGCGATTCCCGAAACGCGCAAGATGCTTGGTGCTTACTCCGACTCGCCTACACCTTGTCCAGAACTTCCTTGTGCAGTTGACGTTTGACCTCGACGACACGCTGCACCTTTACCCGCAGAGCCTTCCCGTGACTTCACCTTCCATTCGACGCCTGTGGACGACGCCAAAGTTGAAAATGCGGTGCGCGCCGCTCTACCAAGCATGACGTGGCGCGAGGTCGAACCGTATCGTTCGCAAAAAGGGGTTTTCAAGGTACATTGCACAGCTGGAACCAGATCGATCCAGTCACGAGTACCACCCCCCTCTTCCTGAATCATGACCTTGACCGTACGAACCAACTCACGCACCATGCGCTCGCACGTACCGAGAGATCAGGGAGAGTTGGCGATTGAAAATTCCGCTCAACACCGAGTGCAGTCGCAATCAAGGGCAGCCATCATGTACTTATTGAAATCGGACGCGGTATCACTCACCAAAACCTCCGGCACACCCAAGATTTTGCACCTCGTCAGGATATGCTGCGCAGTCAGGCCGCGCTGTGCATGCCGCTGTGGGCTCCAGCCAAACCCAGTTTGACACGTCGTCCACGATGACCAAAAGGTACGATTGAACCCGTCCTCCTCGTCCAAGCCATCTTCTTCCACCGGGGCACTCGCTCCCAACTAGAGATAGTCGAAATGAACAACTTCTCCAGGGCGTGTGCCGTGGACGGTCTCTCCGAGCGGTTACGGCACCTTTTCCCCCGCAGTGGAATCCACATAATGCAGGCACTGCTTGACGAAACCGGTGACGCACTCCCTTGCGTCCGAAATCAACAACAACACACGGACAACCGCTGCAAGGTAGCGATGGAGCCACGATGGCCAGCTTCATTCATGCGTGCACAGAAAAATACGTCGCACCTTCACAGCACCCGCTTGATCTGGAATTCAAAGTTTGTCACGTTGGTTAATTCCCACGCGGAACAACAACAACTCATCCACAGTGCCTGTCCCTAACTCCATCGAGGTTAACGCTGCGATGCTTGTTGTGTATCACGTACGACTCGCTTCGACCCCATAGCGGAATCAGATTCGCTGGGGGCGTAAACCGCGGCAGCATGAATACTTACCGACGGCACAGAAAACGACCTTGAAAGAATGTGTCCCCAGCATTTTCCCTCACCCGAAACTGCCTAGTGGTGTAATCGAACTGGCCCAACACAGCTTCCGGCTGGTCAAGGCGCTGGGCCGTTGTTTATTACTTCCAACTACGGAATACACGCAAGCGTCCGGATCGAACTTGTAAGAATGGACGGGGCTCTGCTGGGAGCCTAAACATGGTTGGTGGAGATGTTAATGTTACCCCCTTCTTGTCCCATCCCGTAGGCCTCTGATGACGGCTGAACATGATATGCTCTCTTCTCTTGTCTTTCATTCTACCCCGTTCTATAGGGGCTAAGGGACCTAGCTTTGCCCTCACACCCTTGAGAGGCTACTCTAGGGGGTGAACGCAAAGGATATGGCTCTCTTGTGAATAATTCTCAAGGATTCAGGTTGACTGTTTTTCCTTGGCCCTGTACTTTTCCCAACTCTCCTCAGACGCATCACTCACGCACTGCTTAGACTTCTTTACGTTCCCCCATTTCTTCTTTCAGCTCGTCATCCCACCACTTAACCGATACCCCATATCGTACCACCTTCCTTCCCACTCCTGTTCTGCCGTTGCGTTCACGATGGACTCGCACCCATCAATCACCCTGTCCCGTGCTGCTTGTACGTCTACCTGTTCGTCTTCGACGCTTCTCAGCAGTTTCCCGAAGGATTCTAAACTACCAGCCAGTCCCTTCTGGAATTCATCCCATGTCCCCTCGTCTCCCAAACGCTCTGCTTTCCACCGGAACACTTTCCTCTGTCTCTTACTTTCCATCTTTCTGGATCGATCGATGTTTACCCATATGAGGAAGTGGTCAGTCGAACCTATATATATCGTCTGTCCTCTATTTGAAGCTTTCCTTACTCTGGAGTTCAAATCGCCCACCATGACAACTTCTCCCTCCTACTGAAGCTCTGGACATCTTCCCCAATTTGTCCAAAGTTCTCCTGCGCCTTGCTTGCGACTTTCTTCGACGACGGTGGGACGTACACATTCCCTAGAAACAAATCTGTCTCACCCCGCTCCCCAGGCATCTTACTCCATAGGCTTTCCTCGAACTCCGTTTTCACCACTACTTCCACCACGTCAAACAAGTGTTCCTTGACCAGGAATCCGACTCCCCCCT